AGTCTTTTAAAGACGCTCTCTATGATATGTTTTAAAGCTGCCCTTTACATCATCATCATCACCACAATCATCAGCCATGTGCTATCTACTGTTGGATGAAGACCTCCCCATGCCGTCATCGTTCCTCGTGGTCCCACGATGCCACGGTCAATGTCGCTCGTGCCCGTGCACAGATCTCATCGCTTCATCTCTGCGCTCGCCATCCTCTGGGCCTCGTCCCCTCTTGTGCCTGCCATTCCGTCACGAGTCTTGTCCGTCCGCCATCACCCCCTTCTCGCGATGTGCGTTGTCCAAGTCCACTTATGCCTCTAAGCATAATGCATCCCTCATCAGGAGCGTAGTGCTTTTGAAGAGAAGCCTTCAACAGTCATATAGAAATCAACGTTAAATGAATAGTGCTCGTAAGAGACCTGCTTGACTCGAAATGTTTACATCCATGCACTGTGATATTGATTGGCTTTTCTTTAAAAAGAGTCACCCTCTGCAATGATAAAGAGAAGCACTTTCAATTTCTTTCTCTGAAGGCCCATTTGAATGGGGACGTGATACGCCTCATCTTCCCGAGGCAGCTGTGATGTAGCTCAGTTGATTGAGCAGCAGATTTTCATTTTAAATGTTTTGAATCCTTCGATATGTGGGCATCGCTGGCTATCCGGGATGCATTGCCCATTCCGAGATGTGCTGAGAAGGAGGAGGAGGTGGTTGACCTTCTATTGAAGAGGTGAGGAGTAGGTGGTGGAGGAGGTGGTGGTGGTGGTGGAGGAGGTGGTGGTGGAGGAGGTGGTGGTTGGTAGAGGAGATGAGAAGAGGGTGGTGGAGGTGGTGGTGAGAAGGAGGAGGTGGTTAGGAAGTGATGGTGGATGAGGTGGTAGTAGTGGTGGTAGAGGAGGTGAGAAAGATGTGGTGGTCGATGAAGAGGTGGTGAGAAGGAGGAGGTGGTTAGAAGGAGGTGGTGGTTGTTGGCCTTCTACTTAAACTGCCGCCACAACATTGTTCGTGCCATGGATCTCCAGGATACTGACCCAGCGATGGCGACTGAGCGGGTAGAGGAGAGGGTGGAGGAGAAGGGGGTGGAGATGGAGGGTAGTGTGGTGGAGCGGAGGAGGTGGAGGAGAGGGTGGTGGAGGGAGTGAAGGAGAAAGGGTGGAGATGGAGGAGAAGGTGGTGGAGTGGAGGAGATGGAGGAGGTGGTGGAGTGGAGGAGGTGGAGGAGATGGTGGAGGTGGAGTACAGAGCGGTGGAGGGTGTGGAGGACGTGGCGTTCTGGCGCTGGGTCTCAATCACGAGGTGCGTGCGTGGGCCCATTCCATGTTTTGTCTGCCACTGGAAACCCAAGGAGAGGGGCGCAGTGATAAGTGGGCTTCCTTATCGGCGCACATCGCGCTATTAAACAAGGTTCTAATCTGGCAAAGTAGCGCCAAGGCGCGCTGAAAGACACGCGTGTGTGTGCGCGTGCGTGTGCGCGCGTGCGTGTGCGCGCCTGTTGTTGCTGTAAGCGTGACTTGGTTGCGATGCCTTTGTTTAAGCGAACGTGCCATCTCTCCAACGTAAAATCGTACATTTCTCCCGGCAATTCATTTCTGCCACATATGAACGCCGGCACTTTAAGACTCCAGGGGTAACATTTGTGGCTGCGATTGTGGTATAGAACAAGATCAACCATTCCGATAGACTACTCTTCATTTGCTCATAACGCTACTGCGTCGTATGCAAACACACACACACTTTGCAAGCATTGCACGTGTTATATGCACGTACGTTCCAATGTATGTCATGTACTCACAAGGTCGTGAAGGTGGTTTGACCATACATACTTCAACCACGGTGGTGAGTTCCGGTTGGTGGTGAATGGGAGGTTTCCTGCGAGCCCAGCTCAGATATTCGCTCCCCACTGATGTTGGCCGATGCCTGGGACGTCAAACTCAGGTCGCCACGTTCGTCGTGCAGTGCGCTAACCGCTGCACCACCGCTCCACCGGTTAATACGGCAGAGTAATTAAAGCTCTTTCGCGGTAATTAAGAATGCATAATGATGACCGCTGTGGTGATGGGTTTCACCGCGTGCAATGTATGCCAAAGCAGTTCTTTCAGTTTAACAAAGACAGTGATCCCCCTTGTAGCCTTATCATAATGTTGGGTCAAGTGCTGTTTGCGAGCATCTATAAAGGCCGGCACGTCACACGAGGGGGGCGGGTGGTCAACACCAAGCCCGACCGCCTTTGTCTCCCTAGTGACGATGTTTAACACATCATTTGAGTCTAAGTCGACATGCGGAGGCCCAAGGACCGGTTCAAATAATCGTCACCGGTGTTGGCCGTGAACGGGAATCGAACTCGGGTCGCCGGGTTCATAGCGCAGCGTGTTCACCGCTACACTGTCGATTTTCCGTTCACCTGCGCAACACACACACACACAATACATGTTTATATTAAATCACGGTCACTCGCACTGGCCAAAAACGCCACACGGCCAGCAACAAACGTCACTGTTAAATGTATAATAGATATAACGCGATGCGTTTCTTGAAGTCAGCAAGAATATGGAACTTGGGGAAAAGCGACGATGTGATGGAATTCCAAAGATGAGTAGTAAGGGAAGTGACATGTGGGGAGCGGTGGCGCAGCGGTTAGCGTGCTACGCTACGAACTCTGCGACCCGATTCCGATTCCTGCTCACGGCCGGCCAACACCAGTGACGATTATCTGAACCGAACCTGGGACTTACCTACGTCGACTCAGCCTTAAAAGAGTACCTGGTGGGGCAATTAAAATCGCTGCTCGGGAGACAAAGGTGGCCGGGTTTCGTGCTGGTCACCCATCCCCATGTGCGCCGTGCCGGCCGTCACAGGTGCTCGCGAACAGAACTTGCCCCAAGAGTCTATTAAGACTACACGAGGGATGTTCGTCGTCGTTGTGACCTGCAGTGTGCGTGGTTGAACACAGCGTGGATGAGATCGAACAGTCATTCCGGTAACACCGAGCACTTGAACATCTAGATTGATTGTATGTGCAGCACAGCAAGTGTTAGGTAGGGGAATTCGCGGATAATGGCTGAGAGTGGAAATGCCAAACGTTCCACACTTCATCCACCTCCACCCAGAGCAGAGGGAAACTGCGTCCATCAAGAGGCGTCGTGCCAACTTATTTCCACAACATTGCGCAACTCAACGGGAGACACGTGGGTGACATTAAGAGCCCAAGGAGCATTGGAAGCAAGTGAAAGGGCACACGTGGCAAGCGTGGAGCTTTGTACTTTTCCACTCGGTCATACGAACTCCTTTTTTGTAAATTGTCACGCATATACACAAACATACAAACACACATACACAACTATAGCATGCAATATGACTCCAGGGTTTCAGGCCATTTCATATGAATCTTATACTCAATGCTGCATGAACTTCATGCAACTGGGAATAAATAATACCGATAACGTAATGTTGAAGGGCCTCCCCAAACCGTGTCAGTCGTGGATGATGTTTATTCATGCTTTACCACCCTGGGCAGTGATTGTTGCAGGAGGGAGAGAGCATGGCATCACGAATAGTTGTCAGTAAAACTATGTAGAGCTGTAATATATAATTAGAGTCATGTTTGCTATTGTGAGAAACCTCTACAATAGTAATACTTCAATCCACTCGATGTTTATGGCTCAGCTTGCAGCGAGCTCAGAATCTTTATTTATGCTGGCGGTATCCGATGAGCTATGAAGTTCCTTTTCAGAGATGTCCAGTAGAATGTAGCTCGTTGCATGAATTCAAGCGTCGGTAATACGGCCACCCTGGTAAATACTGCGTGTGTATTAACAAAATTACTATTCACCATCTGCATCACAGTAAACGTTACAAATCTTGTGACTTTATTTGGAGAATAAAAAAAGTGCGGCCATGTGTGCTGGCGTCATGGTACAATTTTTTTTGAAGTTACAGTACTCGAAATGTAATTGGGGAAACATGAAACACAGCAATTGTCGCCCCCTACTGTGAAAACGTAACAGGACCATCCTTTAATAAGATAATTGGGGCTTTAACGAGTTTTTCTTTGGTCAACAAAATCTGTTCCCAATAATTATGCATATTATTGCACTCTTATAATGTAAACTATTCATTTTTTAAAACAATTTATATGAACGACTTTATTAGACTTGTTTTTATGCTTGTAAAATGCATTGGAAATGTTGACACTGTAGTGACATATTTACGAAATAATGAAAAGAGTGCGATAAAACGTTATGGATGATGCTGCTTGGTAATACGCAGCACATTGGACTTGCAATCCAGAAGTTGACCGTTCAATTCGATCTCCCTGCCCGTCATCTTGTGCTTGACGCCTGCATATTGCCAGACAGAGCACAGAGTCCACTGCTCATGTACAATCTTGTCTTGTGTTGTCTCATCTTGTCCACATCTCGCCTCGGTCTCTGTATAGGTTACTATGGGTCTGTATGGGTCTCTGTATGGGTCTGTATGGGTCTCTGTGGGTCTGTATGGGTCTCTTTATGGGTCTCTGTGGGGTCTGTATGGGTCTCTGTGGGGTCTGTATGGGTCTCTGTATAGGTTATTATGGGTCTGTATGGGTCTCTGTGGGGTCGGTATGGGTCTCCATGGGTCTGTATGGGTTTCTGTGGGTCTGTATGGGTTTCTGTATGGGACTCTGTGGGTCTGTATGGGTCTCCATGGGTCTGTATGGGTCTCCATGGGTCTGTATGGGTCTCCATGGGTCTCTGTATGGGTCTCTGTATGGGTCTCTGTGGGTCTGTATGGGTCTCTGTATGGGTCTCCATGGATCTGTATGGGTCTCTGTGGGGTCGGTATGGGTCTCTGTGGGTCTGTATGGGTCTCTGTATGGGTCTCTATGGGTCTGTATGGGACTCTGTGGGTCGGTATGGGTCTTTATGGGTCTGTATGGCTCTTGTATCATCTTGTCCACATCTCGTCTCATCTCGTCGGCCACACGTCGCCTCTCGTCTCATCTTGCCCGCATCTCGTCGCTCTGCGCGTGCCCTCGGCCTCATTCTCAGAAGCCTCCGCTTCACGTCCGCGTCTCGACCCCGCGGAAAGGGAGGAGAGGTGAGTCCTCTCTGCTCCTCATCTCTCTCTCCTCCTCATCTCTCTCTCCTCCTGATCTCTCTCTCCTGATCTCTCTCTCCTCCTGATCTCTCTCCTGATCTCTCCTGATCTCTCTCCTCCTGATCTCTCCTGATCTCTCCTCCTGATCTCTCCTCTCTCACCTCCAAGAATCCGCGATGCGAGCGTTGAAGTTGACTCGGCGCGAGGAGCGGTGGCGCAGCGGTTAGCGCAGCCCCCCCCCACCCTCCTCCTCCCCCCTCCAGCGCCACGGCTCACGTCGGTGCCGTGTTCCCTCCGCCCTAGGTCGACTCAGCCTTAAATCGGCAGCGGTGGCGAGTTAACATTGACACTGGGGAAGACAAAAGCGGTCGGGGGGTGAACTAACATGACCACGGTTTCCTTGGTAAAGCGGGAGCAGCCGCTAACATTCGACTAGTTAAAAATAAATTAGTTAATGGCTTTGCTCATTAAGCTAGTGCGGGAGCTGTAGCATGATTATGCTATAAAGGGGCTCTAAATAAATAAAAACACAAATAATAAATCTATTTTTTTACTCTTCTTGATTCCTTCGGTAAAGTCACGTAGAAGGGAAATAATAAAATAATACAAATAAAACAATTTCGATTTAAAGCTTTCGTGACTGCAGGGATTCATCTTCTTAGTTCTTTCGGTAAAGTCACGTAGAAGGAAAATAATAAAAGAATGTTTTATTTTTTTATTTTTCCTTCTACGTGACTTTACCGAAAGAACCAAGAAGACAAATAAAACAATAAAATAAAAATTTCACGACTTTTCGGCCACATAGTAAAGTAGTTGTATTTTTATTTATTTGCTATGCAGCCAGATAATACGACAACCTTAAACACCCAGTCGTCCATAAAAGCTGAAGGCAGTATAGTACTATAGTAATAGAGCAAGTGCAGCATCACTGCACCTGAATTGAGAGCTTGAAAGCGTTCAGCACGTTGTGAGCTTCGTTGTGTCCTGCATCTTGCCGCTCCAAGCCAGCTGAGCGGCGCCACGCTTCTGCCCTCGACAGGGGCAGCGCAGAGTTCAACACTCGCACGTGTTTCTGTCTGTGTGTCTCTGTGTGTGTTGTGTGTGTGTGTCTGTGTGTGTGTCTGTGTGTGTGTGTCTGTGTGTTGTGTGTGTGTGTGTTGTGTGTGTCTGTGTGTGTGTGTCTGTGTGTGTGTTGTGTGTGTGTGGTGTGTGTCTGTGTGTGTGTTGTGTGTGTCTGTGTGTGTGTGGCTGTGTGTTGTGGCTGTGTCTGTGTGTCTCTGTGTGTGTGTGTCTCTGTGTGTGTTGTGTGCCTGTGTGTGTGTCTGTGTGTGTGTGTCTGTGTGTGTGTCTGTGTGTGTTGTGTGTCTGTGTGTGTTGTGTGTCTGTGTGTGTGTTGTGTGTCTCTGTGTGTGTGTCTGTGTGTGTGTGTGTCTGTGTGTCTGGTGTGTCTGTGTGTGTTGTGTTGTCTGTGTGTGTGTCTGTGTGTGTCTGTGTGTGTGTGTTGTCTGTGTGTGTGTGTCTGTGTGTGTGTGTCTCTGTGTGTGTGTCTGTGTGTGTGTCTCTGTCTGTGTGTCTCTGTCTGTCTGTGTGTGTGTTGTGTGTGTGTGTCTGTGTGTGTGTCTGTGTTGTCTCTGTGTGTCTGTGTGTGTGTCTCTGTGTGTGTTTGTCTCTGTGTGTGTGTCTGTCTCTGTGTCTGTCTGTGTGTCTGTCTGTGTCTCTGTCTGTGTGTGTGTCTCTGTGTGTGTCTCTGTGTGTGTGTCTGTCTGTGCGTATCTCTGTCTTGTCTGTATCTGTGGGTGTGTGTCTGTGTGTCTGTCTCTGTCTGTGTGTGTGTGTTGTCTGTGTGTGTCTCTGTCTTGTCTGTCTCTGTGTCTGTCTCTGTGTTTCTGTCTATTGAGACTATACGGGGGGATCTTTGTCTTGTCTATGTGTGTATCTGTGTGTGTATCTGTGTGTGTGTATCTGTGTGTGTGTATCGTGTGTGTATCTGTGTGTGTGTGTGTGCGTGTCTGTGGGTGTGGGGTGAGCGGTGTTGTTGCGGTTTTAGCGCGCCACGAACCCGGCTGTCCCAGTTCGATCCGAGCTCACCACGACCAGTCGCCAGTCGTCACGTTGCCGAATTTTTTTTACCGGTCATGGACCTCCGCTAGGTCGACTCAGCCTTAAATCACTACAGCGCTCCCCGGTTATAACGCCGTCGCTTATACCGCGGGGACTCGGATATACCGCGGGTCTGTCGCCGTCTCCCCCACCGCCGTCCCCACAGTGGTCTCGCCCAGCGAGGAATCTTCCCATTCCCCTCCCCGCTCACTGTACAATCGTCTGTGGTGGTGGTGGTGCCTTGGCTTTGGTTAAGTCTTCAGTGGCTGCGTCCTGTTGTTGTTGTTGTTCTTATTATTATCCGAAGGTACAATTTGTGCCGTGTTGTATGATTAGATGTGCTTGTGGGTAATGGCGAACGTAAATAGGAGAAAGTCCTACACCATTAAGGAAAAACTCGCGATCATTGAACGGGTCAAGAGTGGGGTTTCAAAGGCGCACATTCATAGAGAGTTGGGTATCCCGGAGGGCACGATACGTGGATGGATCGCAGAAGAAGGTAGGCTACGTTGGTTCCTGGACAAGTTGGACGAAGCTCCGGCACTGCAAAGGAAGAAGACGAGGCTTAGCAAGAACGAGATAGTGGATGACTGTTTATTTGCGTGGTTTGTTCACAAGCGTAGCTTGGGATCGCCGGTGTCGGGACCCGCACTGAAGACGCAAGCTGAGACCTTTTTCTGTGACCTCAAAGGCAAATTTGAGGTCACAGAAAAGGCAAATTTCGTGGCAGCGACGGGTGGCTTTGGCGCTGGAAAAAACGCCATGGCATTGGGGATATATCTCTCGCCGGTGAGTCGGAAAGGTCACGCGAGACCGAAAGGTCAAGCGAGACCGAAAGGTCACGCGAGACCGAAAGTGCTCCGCCGTGTCCCGATAGAATTCCGATATGTCATTGAGAGGGACGTTTTATAGTGTGACGAGCATCAGTAGAGTTCATATTCTTGGGTTTTTTCGGTAAAGTCACGTAAGTAAAAAATAAAACTAAAAATTAATAAATGTTAAATAAAATAAAAATCACGACGTTTCGGAGGCAACACAAGCTTCCGTCTTCAGGTGGAACCGTCACAGCACGCTTGCTGTATCAGGTAAATGAGAAATTCCAAGAGATCCGACCCCGTACATATACTGTTTGAGGGGGGAGGAGCCAGGACAGCCCCCCTTTTTATTATTATGGTAAGGTTGGTGCGGCTGAAACTACGGCTAGTCTACATAAATCTAGAATCGGTAGAATTTCCATGAAATTGCCGTGTTCTCTTGGAATGCTACCTACCAACACATATTTGGGACCTGAAATCAGCCAAGAACAAAGCAGGCTTGGAAGTTAAGCAATGACGGAGGTCACGCTTTTGTTTTAACAAAGCGGGAACGCATAAAGCTGCCACCTTTGTGTATCGGGGAAAAGTAAGAGTTCGTGATGCTTTAAATTTGTAAATCTAAAAAAGAAAAACGTTCCATGGAATACACAAGCAGCTCAAATACCCGACTGACTGCAAACGTATTATTGACCTGGCTTCAAGACAGTTTTACTGGTAGAAACCTCCTGGTTAAACCAGCCCACAGGGGATGATTGTGTTCGTCCGTCGTGCAGGGAGGGGCTGGGTGGGGAGGGAGGGGCTGGGTGGAGAGGGAGGGGCTGGGTGGGGAAGGTGGGGCTGGGTGGGGCTGGGTTGGGAGGGGAGGGAGGGGCTGGTCACCCCGTGGTGCCCTTATAAAACTCAACGTTTAACCTACTCACGCTGGCTTGTGCCCGCCCTCACAGTCGGGAATATTTGCGGAATACACGCCGTCGTTGACCCTGGCCATTGACCGAGCAACCCAACGTTCCTACCAGCTCCCTCCGCAGGAATGTGTTGTTCCATTGGTGCGCCAGCATTTGAAATAAAAAAGAGTTGTACCTGGAAGCAAAGACATCGCTGCTTTTATAGATAAGTGTCCGGCTCACCTACCTGCTGGAACCTCATGTCTAAGGATGGAAAGACAAAGGTTCCGCGTCTCCTGTGAAATACCATGTCCCCTAATCCAGCCCCATGATCAGGGAATCTTCCATACTTTCAAAGTTAACTACAGATGGGAGCTAGCTGCTGTTACCATTTGCTGTCTCCAGAAAGTAAAGTTTCTAAATGTATAGAACGGGGCTAACTTTGAAAGGAAGTGGCAATATCCATGGTGGTCTTGCGTGCAGCTTTATTTCAAAGAATGTCGTACGAAATTGCTTGGGGGTGGTGGTGGGGGGCAAATGTCGTTTGTTGCGAACAGAAGGACGTCGCAAAGAGGCGGAGGATCAAGATGCGGAGCCTGCCGATCTGCCGACTGCTCGGGACGCACTGAACGCCTTAAGAACTGTGATGACGTGGCTCAAGGCACAGAAGGATGTTGAGCCAGTGAAGCTTTCGCAGTTAGCGTCTCTTAAAGAAATTATCTTGCAGAAACAATTGTCTGGTAAATAAACCAAATATACTGACTTTTTTTTTTCTTTAAGAAATGAGTCAACTTAATGTGTTCCTTGCACTGAATTTAGATTGCCGTCAATACAGTACGTAATCGTTGTTGTTTTGTTTTGTAGCAATTAAAGAAAATGTTAAATATTAAAGGAAAAGTTGTGCAGCATGTACACATTGTCTGGAGTGATACTACTGCGTCTGCGGTCTTGTAACACGGTTTGCCGCGCCTCCAAAGAAGCACTGGTACGTGAAGATGGTGAGGTTGGTAAACATCACCAATAGTCTATGTGGCCAGGTAGCTCAGAAGTCCAGAGTACTGAGACGTGACTACCCGAGATTCTGGGTTTTTACCCAGATTAGAACCTTGAGCTGCTGGTTCAGTGTCCTCTGATCGTGGTGTTTAGCCCCCCCCCCACCCGAGCCCCATGCCACCACTGTCCCCACCACTTCTCTCGCCACGGCATTCGTCCGTAACAATCGAAATGTCACAATGCACGTGTGCAGGGTCAGTCATGAAGCACGAAGACGAAGGGAGTCTGGGCACTGAGATACTGAAGATTTTGGTGAAATCGGAAGTAGAGGAAGACGGTAAGACCCTTTCACACAGGCAGGCAGAGCGGAATAATGGAAATATGTTTTTCTCCAGATGCCGCTTCTGTAGTCGGGGAAGACTGTCAAGGGTTCTGGATTGGTCTTGGCCAGCAATGAGGTCTGGAAGAGTGAGGAGTGAGATGGATTCACAGTTATTTATTATTTATTATGCTTTACCCAGGATAGCCTTACTGAGTTCCAAATACTTTTTTCAGGAGGGTCCTACCCAGAAGAGGTCATTCACCAGATGTAGGAGGACAGTCCCTGTAGAATAGGCTCAGCAGAGACCAGATTGAACTGGGTTCTCAACATGAAAGGATACGATGTTTAGGGAAGTGGAAGAAGACTGTGTACTGGGACTATATCAAGGAAATCGGAAGTTAGGGATAGAATGGATGTTCGCTGCGATGTTGGGATCTCCATCATCACTGGCACTGGCATAATGTAAAAATGTCTAGACAGCTTTGGCAGTCATTCACCGCCATCCACCTTGCAAACTGGACTCATTGGGGAACGTGTTGACCACTGGGCTGTCCTCACTGCAGGAGTTGAATGCTGTTTATGAATCACATGAATATTACTAATTTTACATGTCAGCCACAATTGGCATTATTTTTACAATGTTCTTACATACGTTCCGTACCTGTGCTGCCATTCGTTAAGTGTTCTCAAGCAAGCAAGACCTTGGGGAAATGTCCTGCTCTGAGTTTCTGCAGGAAATTACAATGAAGACTGTACAGCAAGGCATGTACAACATCCGTGCCATATTTGTTGGATTCTCTTACACAGTCCCTCTGTTTTATATACATCGCAATATCTCGATCATCAAGCCCCTGCTGGATGAAGGCCTCCCCACGCTGTGTTGGTAATGGGGGTTTGACTCCAGTTCTTCATATTCTTTGGGTCTTTAGGTAAAAATATCATGACGGTTTTTTTCACCTGATGACGATTGCTTGTGTTGCGATCGAAACGTCGTGATATATTTTTTTATTTTTTCTATCTACGTGGTTTTACCGAAAGACCCAAATAATATATTCCTGCAGTGATGAAAGCTTTAAGTCAAGATCCAGTTCTTCATGTTTGTATGTATGTAGAACTTCATACTTATCAGTGTGGGGTGGTGAAGGAGAAAGCTGAGGATGAGTTAAATGGGTTAAGATATTTTATTGGTATTGTATATCTAAACCAATTGGTTAATGTTGTGTTTATAGCTCTATGGATGTTTGGTTCACATGGTAAACCAGCTTAAATGCACGTTTTAGATATGATGACGTGTGAAGTGCATTTGAAATATGAAATAATGAGCCCGGGACCAAAACATGGAATCTTGTCAGATCCTGGATGCTAAGCAAGACTGAGGCTGAACAGTGCTTGGATGGGCGACCACCATGCATCACAGGCGTTATAGGCTGTGGAGCTACGTGGTGCACAACAAAGGGCCCGTGAATGAACAATGCATTGTTGTACTGTACTTGTGTGCTCTTATGCCTATGCGTCTCATTTTCACCAACACAAATTGACCAGCATGGTAAAGTCACGGGGCAAATAATCCCTACGACCTGCACGCCAGTCGGGGGGAGGGCCTCATCCATTTGTGGATTTACAAAGCGCAGTACATTTACATGATGATGTTGACATTACAGCTGTGGATCTGAAGATTGTTAAAGTTGAAGGAGCAAGTGAGACACCAGTGGATGCAAGAGAGTCCCATGTTTGCCTGGCCACTCCAGACCAGAACTTTATCAAGACGGAGTTATTGGAGGATGGCATTGGTGAAGGTGAGTTTCCTTGGATCACATTACGAAGAAAATAAACAATTGTTTTATTCACCAATCATCTCAGAGTTGTGCTGCTATTACAGTTGTATCATGAACTAATGAAAAAAACTTACGATGGAACTCTTTGTGTAGAGCCTCGCATTACGTCAGAACAGCTGTCGACAATTCTCACCACAGAACTACTTATGGAATAATTTGAAAAGCCTTGCTCTCAACCATCTGGAAATATGCTGCTTTTTCTGCCTAGAGAATTAAGTGTTCAGTTCGTGTTGCATTACCTGTGATATATGAATAAGAAATGTGGAGACCTGACAAAGAATATAGAACAACATCTGAAAAGTGCAAAGAAGCATGGAGTGATGGATGCCGGATATTTCACTTGAGAGACAAAACATTGAAACACATGGATTAGAGAACACATCGAAGTTGTAGCCGTAGACTGTTTTGAAAAGTTATTGGGCTTTGCGGGACCCATCATGGCTAGAAGGGATGATGGCTGATGGACCAGACTAGTTATGGATTGACAGCCAAATCAGGGAACACCCACGAAGCCGGCCACCACAGACGGAGCGATGATATCCATTCGTGTGTAGCAAGTGAGGTGGATTGTGACACCGTAAGACCATGAAAGATGATGGTGATGATGATGTGGGGAGACCTTCGTGCAGCAGCTGATAGAACACGGTTAATGTTTTCTGATTATACGTGTGCAATGTGTGGTAGACGATGCAGACAAAGACACGGAAATTCTGTGCGAGGAGTGCGGGCTGGGCAGATGCTTCACAACTGAAGTGGACGAAGCAAAATGCGGCGGCCAGGCTCCGCGAGCCTGTACGCAATGCGGGAAGACACTTGAAGGCACCGCGTTGAGCATGACAGGTGCCAGTGATGGGAGGAAGCACAGGTGTGAGGAGTGTGGCAAGGGGTTTTCATATCACTGTGAATTAAAGCGGCACGTGAGAACGCACACGGGAGAGAAGCCGCATGTGTGTAAGGAGTGCGGGGTGGGCTTTTCACAGCATTCTGATTTAAAGAAGCACTCCAGAACACATACCGGCGAAAGGCCATACTTTTGTGAAGAGTGTGGGAAGAGCTTTTCACAGCAATCCGATTTAAAGACGCATTCGAGAATACACAGCGGTGAGAGGCCACACGAGTGCAAGGATTGTGGGAAGAGATTTTCACGACGTTACACTTTAGAGACACATTGCAGAATACACACTGGTGAAAAACCTTACGTGTGCAGTGTTTGTGGCAAGGGCTTTTCACAGCTGTCCGATTTAAAGAAGCATTCCAGAACACACACGGGCGAAAAGCCGCACGCGTGCCGGGAGTGCGGCAAGGAGTTTTCTCAGCAGTCCGATTTAAATAAGCACTCTAGAACGCACACGGGTGAGAAACCGCACGCGTGCGATGTGTGTGGGAAGGGCTTTTCACAGCAATCCGATTTAAATAAACATTTTAGAATACACACGGGTGAAAAGCCACACGTATGCAAGGAGTGCGGGAAAGGGTTCTCACAGCATTCATATTTAAAAAAGCATCGTGCAATACACACGGGCGAGGAGCTACCCATGTGCACAGATTATGGCGAACAACTTTCACAGAGCGATGTTTTATAGAGCCTTTCTAGAGCACAATGCACGTGTAATGTTTGTATTCATTGTTGATTTAAATTGAAATAAACTCACTGCTGGATGTTTTCTTAAAGGTGTTGGCTGAGTATGTGTACCTGTTGCATTTGTGTCACCATGTACCCTTGACTATACATGAGGATCATATCATTGCAACTAATTTAATTAACCGAATCACGTGAAGACAGAGTACAAGGGCTTTCATTGCTCAGAGTAGTCACCAAACTATTCCACAACAGACACCAGAGGTCCTTACCCGTACCCGGCCGCACCAGGGTATCGGGTACCTGATTGCGACATCTAGGATGAAGCCATGTTGCAGGCGCGGGTGGGTTGATTCTAGGAACTTGAATTGTGAGAAGAGACAAGACGTTGGGAAATGAGTGACAAACAGTTACCAGTGACTCACGGCCTACCCGTACCCGGCCGCTTAATCTAACCGATATTTTTATGAGGTAATGCCCACTCAGCTATTTAAATATTTTTTCAGATGCGACCTGGTTACGAATGATAGCTCAACTTTCACATTGAGTGGTCAACACTTTCTAGCTTCATCTAAACGATATTTTTACGAGGTAATGCCCACTCAGCTATTTAAATATTTTTTCAGATGCGACCTGGTTACGAATGATAGCTCAACTTACACATTGAGTGGTCAACACTTTCTAGCTTAATCTAAACGATATTTTTACGAGGTAATGCCCACTCAGCTATTTAAATATTTTTTCAGATGCGACCTGGTTACGAATGATAGCTCAACTTTCACATTGAGTGGTCAACACTTTCTAGCTTAATCTAAACGATATTTTTACGAGGTAATGCCCACAAAGCTATATATATATTTCCAGTTGCGACCTGGTTACGAATGATAGCTCAACAAAGTGGCTTATGTGGAAATGTATAGCAGCCAAATATTCCAAACGCATGTTGATTCTAAATGTGGAGGGAAAAACCGGAAGACTCGGAGAATAATCCACGCGACCACGGGGGCAACGTGCAAATTCCAAATAAACAAGCGTCAGGGTCGGGATTGAACCCACGACCTCCGAGGGAGTTAACATCTCCGAGCCACCACAGCACCAATTTGGTCTCGCGTGCCTTCACAGAGGCTCATGTTCATGAGATATGTACAAGCTGTGAACATATTCTTTTAATAATAGGGGTTTTCCCCTTTTTTCTGGCAACAAAACTGAAAGCTTTTTACAAGGAATTATGTATGCATTAACCTCAATACTTGTGGTCAAAATGCAAACAAAGAACATACTCTGATAATATATGCATTGTCCTTGAAACTGATTGGTCCACACCAGAGACGGCTTTCTTTTGAGCCTCGTCTCAATTGGTGCTAGACCACAAGTATTGTGGTAAACGCAGACATGATTCCTTGTATAAAGGTTTCAGTTTTGTTGCCAGAAAAAAAGGGGAAAACCCTATTATTATATTTGGTACTGGCAGAGGAGGTCTAATGATATATTTTTCAAGTCGAGCATTTAAATGGTCGAATGTATTATTTTAAAAGCCGACCTTTTTCTGTTCCTGGCTACAACTTTTTGTTGGTGGGGTTGAATAATTGAATAATTTCTACCACTGGCATTCACAACACAGTCATCGGACAGAAGTTGCCAAGAAACATAACTAGTTTGGAATGTTTGGGTCCTGCATTATGGATTAAAAAAACACCAATGTCCTGTATTGTGAGAATCGGAGGCTAAATTTCGATTTAAAGCTTTCGTGACTGCAGGGATTCATCTTCTTGGTTCTTTCGGTAAAGTCACGTAGAATGGAAATAATAAAATAATAAAAATAAAACAATAATTCTCACGACGTTTCGGCCACAATGCAAGCAGCCGTCCTCAGGTGAAGAATAGGTCTGTCGAAAAGACAGAGTCTGAATGACAGACCTGTTCTTCACCTGAGGACGGCTGCTTGCGTTGTGGCCGAAACGTCGTGAGAATTATTTTATTATGTTTTATTTTTATTATTTTATTATTTCCATTCTACGTGACTTTACCGAAAGAACCAAGAAGATGAATTTGGAGGCTCTTTACATTTTCTCGTTCAGCGCCCTCTGCTGGATAAAAGTCACATCTATACAAAATATCCTCGCTCCCTTTGCACTGATGTGGATATGCTACACATACAAGATACTGTATGTTTAAATGTTACTAATTTCGCACTGTAGTAAAAAAATATATATAACAGTGAAGCGCAATGGATTCTGGCGGATGCGTAATTAAAGATAGGAGGGTTTGCTTTAATAACAAAAATAAAAATTGTGCTCTCCCCGACGGGGAATTGAACCCCGGTCTCCCGCGTGACAGGCGGGGATACTAACCACTATACTATCGAGGACTGCACTGGATGTGTAACCTCATCAAGCGCTCTTAGACCCAAACCTTTCTCCGTTTGAGCACCCGATCTGTCAATTGCCATTTTATTTTTCACACATCCCATCAGCCACGTGGCATTCTGGAAGTGCGTTTATTTGAAAAGCATTGTCTGGTTTAGATATTCAATGTCTCATCAGCAGCCAGGCTTGCTTGAACTGGTAATGTTAGAGGCATGGATCAGAGCTGGACGCAAAACGATATAATTCAAAACTCAAAATAATTGTGTCTTTCCAAAGTGCTGACATTTGGGCGGCCAATGGCTGGCAGCGAAAGCCACGCGGTGCCGTTGCTGAGCACAAAGACCCAAAACGCCAAAGGGGCCGTCCATAAATGACGTCACGCGATTTTAGACGATTTTTGACCCCCCCCCCTTCGTCACACGGCGTCACAAAAAGTCAGACCCCCCCTCAAATATGACGTCACAAAGCTCTGCCCCCCCCCCCCCCATAAAATAAAACATGCTTCAAATCGCTTTAAACTATTGGCATTGTAGTGCGTATTTAATGTGGCGCTGCACTCTGAGGTAGGAGAAAACATTTATTAAAAAGTATATTTAATTAAGTAGAACGTGTTGTCTATATTTATTTAAAGTTGCGCATTTTGATGTGACGTCACATTTCTCAACCCCCCCCCTTCGTCACACATCGTCACAAATGCCTGACCCCCCCGCCCCCGTAGGTGCGTGACGTCATTTATGGACGGCCCCAAAGTGCCATTTCAAAAACTTTATCCGGGGAGGGATCAATGTTTCCCATAAAAAACTATAGTCCCATATAAGTGTTAACATTGTTTTGAAGCACCCTGTACAATATAAAATTTCACTCTGCTTTTTCCCAATACCGTAACGTGTATCTTCTCTCGCGAGCTGCAAGGAGACAATTTAGCGTGCACCAATTTCTATTGCAGCACATTCAATTAGCAGTTAAAATACTCAAGTGGAATCTTGAATGGTTGATCGAACGGGTCGATCGGTGATTAAAGGGACATTTGTTAAATTCCACGTGGCACGAATACGTTAAAAACAAGCACGTGCCACGATTGTTGATGGAGATTGTTGATAGCGGAAACAAGCACGTGCCACGATTGTTGATGGCAATTGTTGATAGTGAAAACAAGCACGTGGCACGATTGTTGATGGCAATTGTTGATAGTGAAAACAAGCACGTGCCATGATTGTTGATGGCAATTGTTGATAGTGAAAACAAGCACGTGGCACAATTGTTGATGGCGATTGTTGATAGTGAAAACAAGCACGTGCCACGATTGTTGATGGCAATTGTTGATAGTGAAAACAAGCACGTGCCATGATTGTTGATGGCAATTATTGATAGCGAAAACAAACATGTGCCATGATTGTTGATGGCAATTATTGATAGCGAAAACAAACACGTGCCATGATTGTTGATGGCAATTATTGATAGCGAAAACAAGCACGTGCCACGCTTGTTGATGGCGATTATTGATAGCGAAAACAAGCACGTGCCATGATTGTTGATGGCAATTATTGATAGCGAAAACAAGCACGTGCCATGATTGTTGATGGCAATTGTTGATAGTGAAAACAAACACGTGCCATGATTGTTGATAGTGAAAACAAGCACGTGCCATGATTGTTGATGGCAATTATTGATAGCGAAAACAAACACGTGCCATGATTGTTGATGGCAATTATTGATAGCGAAAACAAACACGTGCCATGATTGTTGATGGCAATTGTTGATAGTTAAAACAAGCACGTGCCACGATTGTTGATGGCAATTGTTGATAGTGAAAACAAGCACGTGCCATGATTGTTGATGGCAATTGTTGATAGTGAAAACAAACACGTGCCATGATTGTTGATGGCAATTGTTGATAGTGAAAACAAACACGTGCCATGATTGTTGATGGCAATTGTTGATAGTTAAAACAAGCACGTGCCACGATTGTTGATGGCAATTGTTGATAGTGAAAACAAGCACGTGCCATGATTGTTGATGGCAATTGTTGATAGTGAAAACAAACACGTGCCATGATTGTTGATGGCAATTGTTGATAGTGAAAACAAGCACGTGCCATGATTGTTGATGGCAATTGTTGATAGTGAAAACAAACACGTGCCATGATTGTTGATGGCAATTGTTGATAGTTAAAACAAGCACGTGCCACGATTGTTGATGGCAATTGTTGATAGTGAAAACAAGCACGTGCCATGATTGTTGATGGCAATTGTTGATAGTGAAAACAAACACGTGCCATGATTGTTGATGGCAATTGTTGATAGTGAAAACAAGCACGTGCCATGATTGTTGATGGCGATTGTTGATAGCGAAAACAAGCACGTGCCACGATTGTTGATGGCAATTGTTGATAGTGAAAACAAGCACGTGCCACGATTGTTGATGGCGATTGTTGATAGTGAAAACAAGCACGTGCCACGATTGTTGATGGCGATTGTTGATAGTGAAAACAAGCACGTGGCACGCTTGTTGATGGCAATTGTTGATAGTGAAAACAAGCACGTGCCATGATTGTTGATGGCGATTGTTGATAGCGAAAACAAGCACGTGCCACGATTGTTGATGGCGATTGTTGATAGTGAAAACAAGCACGTGCCACGATTGTTGATGGCGATTGTTGATAGTGAAAACAAGCACGTGTCACGAAAGATGGCCGCTGCCGGCAAATTAACGCCGTGAA